ATACGATTGTATCAATAAGATTCTTGTTATTTATGCAGATTACCATATCTTCATACGTTATATGCTTTTCATATTAATTTTTATACATATGGATTTCTATATATTCTTTGACACTCGTGTAGATCTTCATATGAATGTTTATACACCATATATATTTCCATAATGAATTTTCATTCACCATATAGATTTTTACGAGTGGGAACTCACATAGAAATTTTCAACAGAGTATGTTACTTAGAAACACAGTTTTTAAAAAATCTTTAAATTACGAAAGATATACATATATGTTATAGGCAAAATTTGTGAGTAGTGTTGACTTTGTCCGGGCAGTGTCACATTGTCTAACGCGATTGTGTTGAGCAACGTTAATACGGCTCGGGCAATGCTGACACTTTGTATAGTGCGCAACTCGGACAATGTCAACACTTTCCATTACGCAGACTTTGCTCGTAACATATATATATATATATATATATATATATATATATATTGTTATAAAATTCAGTTTGATGACTGGTGATTAAGTTTATTGTGAATGCACTATTTTCAATGCTAAAATTGAATGTAACGAGAGTGAGCCACGCGGTGCGCAATTACGAATATTATGTGTATGAATACATGATACATGTTACATTACTCGTTTATTATTGTTACATAAACTTGGATGAACGCATATATGTACACACATTACGATAGCCAGATGTCGCGAGTAGGCATGTGCTTTATTACTAGCAGCGTCGTTCGCAACAAGGCTCTGTTTGATAGATTAATTAGGATATAATTGATTGGGATATTAAAGAATATCCTTAAAAAAATTGTTGAAATAATAAATACGTTTGAATTAAATAAAAATTCTTTAATAAACCTGGAATCATTAATTGGCACATTCAGAGTGTACCGTAAAGATCAAACGATAACATTTAAGGAAAAGTTCCTGAAATTTTAAGACAAAAATCTGAATAACAAGATATTAAGTCTACAATAGTTTTTGAATTGTAAGCTGTTAAAATTGCCGAATTATATCGCCTAAAGTTCGCACGTGTTCAGATGTGTAATACAACGTACAAGGCACTAAAGGCATATTTTAATTAATATCTGTAATAATTTTTATATAGTCATATTAAAAGTAAAAAGTGAAAATTGCGAACTAATGTGAACTCTTGAGAAGACACTTGCTCAAGAGTTCGCATTTTTCTTTTCTTAATAAAGTTAATCTCTGATACTTTTTAAAATATAAAGAATAATCTAAGCACCATTTTACTGTCCGAACTGAGATCCTTATATAGGTTATATAGTCTCAAAGAAAAAGTGCGCACTTTTGGGCGGTCTTACCCTAATAATTTTTTAAGTAATTATAAATTTCTGTAGTTTCTCCGGATTACTTTAATAAAATGTTTAATATGGACTAGTATATTATATTAATAGTTCATTTTGCTTATATTGTGTTAAATAATTACAAGATTGGTACATATTATTAATTAACTATATACTACTTAATAACTACAACTTTACATGTAAGATGTGAAATTGGTAGTAGATGAAATTTTATTCTGATAGCATTTCTTTAAAAAATGTCTTCTGACAGCTTGTACTTTATGTATCACGTAAAAGTAAAACATATTATTGTAGAAAAAGAAATGTTATTCCACATGCGTTTGCAAGAAAGTATATTAATTTATCTTTGCTTATTAACAAAGAGGGCTTTCTTAATATTAATATAAACATTACATAAGCAAAGATAAAATTATATACAATTTCGCCTTCAGCATTTTGCATTTTATTATGGTACTTAAACGCGCAAATTTGAAGCGATATGAGAGAGATTCGCTAACTTTAAATGTTTACAATTAAAATACTAGTACAGCCTCGATATTTTGGTATTAGAATTTTCTCAAAATGATCTCAGAAACTTACCTTTAAATGTGTTGTAGATGTTATAATCTATACAGAACACGTCCTGTATAAATAATAAGATATAAATTAAATTTATTTTATAATATGTGCGTATTTGGGCATGCGCGTATGGCGTTATTATTTGAGAGGCTTAAAAAAGTATAAATTTGTTCAAAATTCAAAATTTGTCTAAAATATCGTTTGTTTATAATTTATCTATAAGATATAGAATTTGCGTAGAATTTCATAAAGGTTAGAAAATTGTCAGAAGTTTCAACATCTTCCTGTATCAAACTGACGCGATAGTTTACCTTCATTGTCGTACGATGTATATTATAGTAAATTATAGTTTCGCATCATACTAGCATGCATGTACATATACACTTGTACTCTGGCAGTGGGCTCGGCTCCGCTTAATACTCTGGTACTATGGAGTTCTTATCACAGAGATATTCAATTGTTTGGTGCACTTTTCGCTCCCTTTTCCAATGCTCTATTTTTTCCAGCATTCTTTCTTGTACTTAATTTTTTTCTCATAATTTCGCAGCAGTATCTAATTACACCGATTAATATATTACAATTGCCACGCACTATATAATCGATTTTCAATCCTCACAAAAGCGAATAACAATTGCGACGATGGCGACGATACTATCTTGATCTTAATGTTGAACATGAAGTCTCTATTTCTTTATCTAATACTAAGAAAGATTGGAAGAGGTTGCAAACGGAGTAAATTGGACCTATGGTTAAAATCTTATAGCAAAACTGGTTGTGGGATCTGGAAAAATTTGTTTTCCCGATAAGTTGTTAACAAATTCAATTCGAAAGTTTGATTTACGAGGAATTCCAGTAGCATCGTCATCACGCAAATTGTACTGATATTACAACTTTTAACTACGTATTATATATTACAATATAAATTGATCAACGTAATATCGAATGGAATACATTTATTCCCCGTACAAGCTAATTAAAAAAAAATTAGTTATTTGTAAAATAAAACTCTTAATTCTCTCTCTCTCTCTCTCTCTCTCTCTCTCTCTCTAAACTTGAAAAAAATTATTATAAAAGTTGTTAAATTTTTTCAATTTAGGATTTTAAATTAGAATTATATAGGCAGATTCATCACGTGTGTCACTTTTATAAAATTATGTAATATACAAACTGTCGAAAATAATATATACATGCTAAAAAAATACATGACCTGTTTTAAATTTATCGTCTGTTTTTACTCAGCGAACATTCAATCGATGATGACATCGACACTCACTGGCAGCTACCTGTAAACCGAATCGTGATTCTAACGAGGTAGACTGAGTCAGTCTTGTTAAGGCTGGCAAGAGAGATATTTTGCGAGCATGCATCCGCCATGGCGAAGGGCTAGTTAATCGGCAAGAGCCGACATATAAATTATTAAAAAAAAAAAACAAACGTCGCTTGCGTGCAGCGATGAGGTAATACGTGTAAAGTCCGAGTTACAGCAATTCTTTGCTTTACACTCAACCAATAAACATTCAAACGACAATTTTTATCAACACTTTCTTCTATATCATATTACATTAGTCGATAATTGCGTAATAATCAATAATGGTTGACCATAATATTCGGCAGTTATGTATGACTATCAATAGTTATCTCAAAAAGTTGACTACCTAAATATAATTTTAATCATTTTGTACGTTGATTACTGACCGCTATACAGAGTTATTTAGAACAACCCCTTGTTTTCGAAAAAAAGACGTATTCCTGATTAAATTTTGTTATAACCTTTCTTCTTATACAACTTTGTATATGTAAAGTTTAATTTTATGTAAATTATAGAAAGAAATGGTCTATTACTGATCGATTCAGACCGTCATACGCGCATACTTATATGGAAAGTACCTCTGTGGTAGTATTGTATGTACAATTCATGGTAGATCTATCGGTGAAATGCGCCATTGTTATCAACCTCTTATATTCAATATCTAACAAATCTGTTTCGTTTTCTAAATTAATATGGCGAAGTTTTGTAAGAAAAAATGTCAGAATTTAGTCAGGAATATGATTTTTCAAGAACAAAGTATTGTTTCGAATCTAGTTTTGGTTTGTCGGCAATAGCTGCCGTATAATGTAATTAATTTTAAATTAGCCAAATACTACATAGCTATTTTAACATATTTTTCTTATATTTGAACGAATTTTTATTACAAGCACATTTACTGGTTAAGTGATTCTGTTTAATACACTAAAAATTGTGTATCAGATGCTTGTATTACTCGGTTGCTATACATACGAATCGCACAATGTTAAAAAGACGTAACTTCCTTTTCACAATAAATTTATCATATATATTTAAAATATAGATAACACGTACATAAAATAAATATAAAATATAAATATATTTTAATAGCATTTAAATTAAATACAATAAAAATGTTTAATAAAGCTTTTAAAGAAGCATAATGTGTATGCGCGTGTACATATCATATATGACAATATGTTTTAAAATTAACGTTCTAATTTCCATTATAAAGGTTTCTGCTTTTTAATAAATTTATTTCTTTTAAATTATTTAAATTATTTTTTCCAAAAATTTGGTTTAACAAGGTTGATTTTTTTGATAGCGTACGCGCTGCTACCTCATCATGCACGCTCACGATCAGTGCGATCTTTCGATCGAGTAATATCCAATCTTTTTCTCTTCATGCTTCATGCATCCAACATATGTACGTAACGTTAAAGCCTCAAAAGATCAAGAAGCTATCGAACAAGATCGAGAAGGTAATCACGAGTGTTTTCACCCGTAAACCATTAGGAAAATATATGCAGTACATGGATTGCATTAATTGCTATTAAATGTTTATTAAGTAACAAACGCGGTTTTGATTGCTGAGCTAACTTTGTGCAATCAGCATTTTTAGATACTGATTGCGAATGAAAAATAAGACATCAACGAGTTGCGATTCACTTGCGTAACATTTAAGATTCATCGAAGAGGCACATGAGCTTCTCACACTTAATTCTGGAAATGAAAAGCTTCCGTATTTGCCGAATGCAGTTTCGTATCGTAGTTAACACGATAAAAGTTCATTGCTCGTGCATTTTGCAATTATTTTCCCTTGACGTTAGAGTATCAGCAAAATTCATGAAGATTTCTACGTTTCTCTTTTCACTTAAATTTGTCCTGGTCGAAGAAACACACAAATTGATTTCTTCCAGTTTTCGATCTCGATGTTATTAAAGTAAAACATTTTTTAGGAGATCATCTCTTCCAATTTCTAAAGTTACTTTCAAAGCGATTTCACAAAGCTTTTCTAACAGTTTCAGCACGTTCACTATGAAGCTCGCGCAAACTGGATGACAGAATTTTGCCTCTGTGAGGTCGTCATTAGGTTGTCACCACTGCCGCCACTATTCCTGTACTCGCTCTCCATGGATTGAAGAATCATTTTGCTACGTTTCCTGGGTGGCAAGATTAGCGTTTCCCGCGGTGGTATCACTAGGTCCAAGGCCAAGTCAGGTGACGAAGCTGGGCTCTCAGGATTACTGCACGGTGGCGTGAGCAACGGATCTCGATCAATTTTAACGATCCTGGCACCATATTCTTGTCTTTGTCGCTCTTCCTCAACCGCTTCTAAGGCGGCCTCAACTCTTCGGCGCGCATCATTACCCGGTAAATTCAAAAAAGATGAGCAATCGGCAGTATCGAGATGAACACTGCCATTGGTTGTTAAACCGAAGTTGGCATACGCTGGCTCGGGATAGAAGAACACGTGATGGGTCATTGGTTCCATCGGCGTACTTACCACCACGCTCGCTTGAAAGCGCTTCTCGTCGATATCAGCGAGCACGGGTTCTACCGTACTCGACGGCGATGTAACTACTGGTTGCGAATACGGCTGCTCTCTGTTGCCAGAATAAAGATAGTATCCAAAGTCGCGTTGAACGGCATAAGCGTTCGATGTCGAATCCGAATAGACCTCTTCAGTCTTTAGGTTCTCCTTGTCGTCGACAGTGATGTCTGGTAAATCTAGAATCGCTGGGATCGTAGCTGGGTCAAGGTTGCTCCTGTTACTGCCACCGTCACCACCGCCGCTCTGAGAGATCTCAACATCCGGTTCGATTGGCGAAGCGCTCGCCGTTGGTGAAGAGATGTCGCTATCTGTAATAGTAGAAGTGACGGATGCCGGTGATTCCGGATGCTTCTTGATATGCAACTCCATTGTCTTCTTGGAACCAAAAGTCTCATTGCAGATCGTGCACTTATACACCTTCTCACCATAGTGCGACACCTGGTGCAACTTGAGTACGTGGTTGTAGCCAAATGCCTTGCGGCAGATGTCACAGGTGTAAGGTTTCTCGCCAGTGTGGGTGCGCGTATGCACTTTCAACTGCTTGGAACAGGTAAAACCTTTTTTGCACGATTTGCACACGTATGGCTTCTCGCCGGTGTGCGTGCGCATATGTATCACCAGTTGGCCGCTTTGTATGAATGTCTTAGCGCACACGGTGCATTTGTGCGGCCGTTCGCCAGTATGAATGCGCATGTGACGATGCAGTTTGCCACTATGTTCAAACGCGCGTCCACATACGTCGCACTTGTACGGCCGTTCGTTCGTGTGGATGCGACGGTGGACGCTGAGATTTTCCTTTACCGAGAACGATTTGTTGCAGTACTCGCACTGGTACGGTTTTTCGCCAGTATGGGTACGATAATGGCGTGTCAGTCGCGCTGGTACAGCAAACGTTTTGCTGCAGATATTACAGCGATATGGATCCTCGCTCTCCTTGCCATGCGACCTCAAGTGACTCTGATACACGTTCTTCTGCGTAAAACTCTTCTGACAAAGTAGACACTGGTATTTTCCAATCTCCGTCGTTGGACTGGCCAGATCTGCGGCTTCAACCCCGCTGCAACCTGGCGTGGTCGCGAACATCGTAAGATCCGGGCTGCACACCAAGCTTTTTACCGAACTCATCGTTTCTAAGCCGACAGTTATGCTGCCCGGCGCCGAAATTGACATTACTGGATTTGGCGGCACGGACTCCATCTGACAGTAGCCCAACATCGAGGACGGAAAACTAAAATAAAAACATTTAAAAGATCGATTTGTAGAATTATTTTGTTTCGTAACTCGTATTTCACATTGTATTTGCCAATACTATAGTACGATTATTCTGTTTTATTATACGCATATTTATAATCTGTATGAAATGAACTCAAAAAGTACTTAAAAATATACATGTACTTATTTATATGCATGTTTATATATGTTACCTTAAATAAAAGTAGGAGTGATTTACTTGCACACTGTTACAATCGCTCACTGCCAATCACAACGATTTCTGCGTAAGGAGTTTTTATTTATTTTTCTTCTAGCGCCGTAATTGGCTGTGCGCAAATGGCTCATGTGCAATTGATATACACCCATAACAAAAGCAATACTTAATTTATATAAACATCAAAGTATGATTTATCATTCTACAAAATTAAAGAATAGAGAAAGATTAGGAAAAAAAGTCTTTTGAATCTGAAACAGCTCACAATTGGTAACAAAAAAAATCTTTTGGGACTCTTTCGGGAATATACTTTTAGAACAGAAATAGGATAAAGCAAAAATTTACTTTGTAAGTCGAAAATAAAGAAAAGAATTTTCTTTTCAAACTTTCTGTGCTGACCGTACTATTTGGAATACACATATTGGGTAAGAACGCGATTAGATGACGCTGCTTATAAGAAAGAAAAACAAACCTAAAAAGTTTCATAAGGAGTATGCAAAACAATTTAACAAATCTCTCGGAGACTCCCAAGCTCTTTTGGTCTTATTTCATGTATAAGAGTACATATAATTATAATATATTATAATATTATTTTATATGTGCAATAGACGTTTGCAATACCTAACATGTAATATATTTATTTCTCGCAATGTATGAATTTATAAATCAACTCTTATTCCCTTTTGAATTAATTTATTACATTTTTCTTATTTGATATTAAGAGTCCTGTACCCGTATCGTTATTTAAGAAATTAATCAGTTTACGAGATACAAGAGTGGATTAAATATAAACAATTTATTTAAAAAAAATTTTTGTATGAAGAGTAAAAATACAAAACATTTTTTTTACTTTTCTACGTAATTTCCTGCTTTGAAAACGCATTTTCCCCATCTGACTGGAAGCTTTTTTTATGCCATTATTATAAAAGGAAAATGGATATTGTGAGCCAATTGCGTACGAAGGCCTCCACTCCTGCGTCGTCCCCAAAACGCTTTCCTCCCTATGCCTCTTTCGAGGGTGCAAACATGTGAAAGTCACATGGACTTAATCTGAACTGTAGGAGGGGTGTAACCCAGGAAATCTGCTTAAATTTTTGTCGCGTTTGATTCTCCGTATTGGCCGAGCATTAATTGTCGTGGAGCAAAATCACATCTCTGATCAGTTGGTGTCATCTTTTGGTTCGATAAGCAGCTTTAATTTCGTCAAGGAGTTAGCAGTAGTATGCAATGTAATCGGTCAGTCTCGAGAAGGTCACTAACCGCACGAATATTGTCTTCCGTTAGACTCGTCTTGGGACGGCGATCATGACTCATGTTCGACTTTCTCTCATCCTCCAGAAAAAAGTTTTGTGCCAAAAGAATACATGGGGCTGTGAGAGGGTTGATTCTTCGAATTGTGTGTGTTGGTGTAATCTACGGAAAATTTCAGCAGGCTGAGCCTCTTCTTCGTCAGAAATTTAATTATGATCCGTTGCGCAACAAACGGATGAACCTCTTTCTCGCTCATCTTGTTGCAGACTGCCGTACCCATCCAAAAGACCCATCTCAGACTAAAAATCCCCTCCTAACATTCCCCCTAAAACATCTTTAATGTTGCATCGTCCTACTTTACCTTCTCTAAACTTCAGAGTGAAATTATTCTCGTTTATGTTTGATTCACCCTCGTATTTACGTATTGTGTCAATTGACAGAATAAAGTATGAAATATTTTGTATCTCATATAAACTATTAATTTTTCGATATCTCTTTATTTCAATACTTTTATATGTAAAATAATTAAATAAATTGTATTATATAAAAAAAAACATCACATACGCTGCTTTCAAAAAGTTCTGAAACTGAATTTTTCTAGACATATAGGTACTAATAGCACTATACTTAAATTTCAATAACTGTACAAGTTAGCATGTAGCTTTGTGAATCTCCCACATATTTTAGATAGAGTAAGTATAGTTTATGTGCAATGTATGCGTCAAGAATTTATTGACTTGTCATGATTTTTGACATGAAACAAAGAGATACAATAAATAGTTTTGTTTCAAATATGAGAAAAGTGCGTTAGAAACATTCGCCATGATAGGAAGTACTGTTCGTATTTCACAAGATATTTAGCCTATTACATTTGAGAAATTCTGTATCCTGTATAGATAAATTAAATTAAAAGGTTCTGTACTGTTTTACAATTTTCGCTATAATTAACGAGTTATCAAAGATCATTAAATGAGTGCCCAGAAATATAATAATTGCATATTTGATTATACGTATATTATATTGGGATTATGTTGCTGAATTATATTTGCTGTTTTAATATCTCTCCAAAAACCGATAAGTCTTGACTTTAATAATGCCGTATTTCATTCGTGAAATTTTTGTCACTAGGAAATGGATCTAAAATATTGTAACAGTAGGTACAATAGCTTTTTGCAAGTTTAAATATTTCAAATAAAAGTGTAGAATATTTGTAGAGAAAAGAGAGCAGAAAAAGAGAATATTCTTTATTTTTAAAATTGTCAACGAATCCTCGAATCGCATGCATAGCGTTAACATAAGCACCTGCATGCGCATGACGCTATCATCCGACAATGGCCAAGGGAGGCCGCGGGCGTGGTCGGCGGCCACGTTGCAAGCGTATCGCGCACAGCCCGCGTACCCCCTGTCGGTACCGCCATCGCTACCGTCTCCACTCGTCTTCGCATGCCGTGCCGAAACCCGCGCGGCCGCCTCCACGTGTACGCGTCGCATTTTTTTATAGCGATCACCGACCTCGTCCAACTCGGCGCGTAGTAAGTAAGGACGTTGAGAGAGTTACATCACAAGAGGAGCACGTAGCGGCACACGTCCGACGATAATCGCGTATGATGCGCTCTTTCTTTCGTTTTTCTTTTTTTTTTTTCTTCTATTCTCCCTCTCATCCCTGTGGTCATTCTCCTCCTTTTCATATTCCCTCCACTGTCCCTTCCCATATTCGTTTCTATAGCCTTTCATTTTCTTGATGAAACTTATACTGATTGAATGATCATATGACGAGTACCACAACGCATGAAAGGGATACGCAAAAATCGTATTGATCCACGGAAACATCCCCCATACTGAGGGGAAATTTCATCCTACAGTCAAACCGTCACGTCGCTGCTCACGCCCGGAAGACACTTTCGTGCCGAATTTTATGAAACACCGCTACTACTCTTCCTCTTCGTGATTCGAGTATATATATTTTCGTGATAATTTCTAATCGTATTTTATGCAAATTGTTTTAACTACATAAAGACTAATCGATTGTAATTTTTGATTAATTAATATTAATGTCTATTTGGAGAAATAAAACGAGTTTATTCTCTGCGAATGTTAAAATTTATCATTGATATTTACTATTAACTTTATTATTTTCTTATTTTTCATTTAATTTTTATTTAATACATTTCAATTTCTTCTAATTTTGCAAATTTTCACAATACATTTAAAAACGATAATATAATATATAAATTAAATTCTATATAATTATAAATATATTGGTGAGAAGGGTTTTCAGAGTCTAATTATAGTTATCTTTTACTATATATATTTGTATATATTTGTATAACAAACATTACATAAATTTTTAGATTAAATTATGATCTAAAAATTTTGATAATGTTTATTATACAAATAAATATATAACGTCTTTTTCTCACAATTTTAAATTATTGTAATATAAATCGTAAAAATATTAAAAAATTTAAAATTAAATTAATATAATGTCAGCGAACTGTAACAATTAGCAATAAAATGTCACAAATACAATTATAAAAGTATAGTAGCATAAAAACGTAATAAAAATAAAAGATTAATATACAAATAATCTATTTACACTATATTAAATATACATAAAAGTGATTCTATTAAGAATACGTACATTTTTATTTTTATACTATACTCATTCTAAGAATATTTTAAGAATAAAAAACTTTTAATAGTCCGAAAAATATTTGACATAAAAATTAATTTTAAAAAAATTATATAAATTTATTGATAACTATGTGTTTAGTAAGAAAATATGCCCGTTATCAATGTGTAAAATAATCTATCAGCAACATGACGCGCGATTCTGAAAATTGATGACAGTTCCTCCTTGCGCTTCTTGTTTTCTTTCTATGTTGCGAGAAAGTTACTTCCGTTTATGCTTAATAGCCGAAATCAAAGTGATAATTTTTTATTTTAAATTACGATCTTATACAGCATGAAATATTTTAGAAATATTTCCAGTATATTTTATTACAATATTTGAAACACATTTTAGAAATTTTTCATAAAGTCTTTTTAAAACATAAATATGTCTAAAAAAATCAGTTTTTGAAATATTCTTTTTCGTACAATATTTGTATAATATTTCTAAAATATTTTAATGCAATATTTTAAAATGTTTGATAAACATTTAAAGAACGTTTTTGAAATATTTTATTGAAATGATTCACAAAATGATTCACATGAATATTTCACGCTGCGTGGAATGTCATAAAAAACACTTTATTTCACTCAATTTAATTTACTTATCATGCTTAAAAAATCTAGAAGCTCGAAAGTGACAAGTCTAAATATCTACATATAAGGATCGAAAAATAAAAAATCATTAGTCGCGAGAACTAAAAAAATTACGTGAAAAAAATACGCAAAACACGGGGAAATAATCTAAAGAGTCTAAAGGCATTAGTTTTCGCGTACGAAATTTGCGATGTCACTCTTAAATCAGTTGGCAAAGAAAAAGGATTGGATAAATAAAAAAA